TTTCAACTGCCCTTTTTCTTTTAAAAAATAAATTTTATAATTTAAAATACGATACGATGATACGATATAAATATAATATAAATATATAAAATTTAATATTTTATATGATATAATATATTAAATATTATAAAAGTTATAAAATATATTTTAAAATATAAATTGATACGACGTAAGTGTTTGGTAAAATTCTCTGTGCTATGAAAGGATGACGATAAGTTGGTTTCCGTCGTACCCAAATGCCAAAAGACAAGTGACCCGCGGGGGGCAGGAAGTGGGCAAAGTCAATTTGGCCACCAATGGCTAGTGCTGAACAACCTGCCTGAGTAGTGATCGGTCCGCAATGAGCTAAAGGCTCTCGCTGCGTAAGCACTTACGTTAAAAGCCATGTTTTATTATTTTATTTTATATATTATGAGACGGATTTTACGCGAGTGTTACACAATATCTAGCAAACCCATGTGGACCTCTCCCTCGGTTCTCAGTAACAAAATCTGTTTGCTTTTGTTTCAGCCTTTGGCTATATTGCTAATGGGATTTTCTATTGATTTTTTATAACAATTTTGTATTATATAAAATATTAATAAATTATATTTTTATATTTTTTATATTTATTAACTTTATATATAATTTTTATTAAAATTTTAAATTATATATATATTTTTCATATCCAGAGGCCTAGACTTGACCATTAAAGCAATAGATTATCTTATACTTTCTCCGAAGCAATAGATTATTAAATAATAACCCTATAATGTATTAGACATTACACGTTAGTAGTTCTAAGAATTGAGGAAAACCCTGAAAAGGAAAGAATAGAAGGAAGAAAAACAAAAGAAAAGGCAAAACATTTTGGGAGGTGAAAGTGAAATCATATATGTGCTTCGAAGTAAGGATATAAATAATATATTAATATTTGTAAGTTATTTAAGTTCTATTAGAATAAAATTTGAATTCGATTCGATTATTATCGAATTGAGCTCGAGGTTGAATAACTCGACTCATCATCGAGTTGAGTTCAAGTATTTTTATACTCAGTTCGAATAGTTTGTGAGCTTAATCGAGTTTTTATATTTAAATTTTTTTTATTATTTTAATTAATAAAATATATCGAATTAGGAGTCGAATTCGAGCTCAAACTTCTTACTGTATCGATTCGACTCGATTACACCTTACTTTCAAAGTATATATTTATATTTGATATGTAAGACTCCATGGGTAAAACAGACACATGCATATGCTCAATTAATTCGTCTCAACTTGTGTATGCTTGTAAAAGAATAATGTATATTTGATACATTATTATAATATAAAATTTATATATTATTAATGAATTAGATAATATTATTTTATTAATAAATAAATTTTTTAAAATAAATTTTTATTTTTTTATTTTAAAAATTGACATTAATTTATTAATGAGATAAGATTATCTCATTTATTAAAAATATATAAAATCTATATATACTTGATAATATATAAAATATAAACTAAAAAAATAAACAAAAACAAAACCGATTAACTTTTAATTAGGATGCTGATCAGATTAGGCTCTTTGACACTATCAAATGCGAAGACGAATCTCCCTAGCTAGCTACCTAGCATGAAATATTTTGTTGTGACAAGGAAAAGGAGTGCATATGAGCTGAACCTCCATTCAAGTACTTGAAAGAAAATAAAAAAAGAAAAGTAATGTTGTCTTATATGTTGGTTATATTATTCTTGAAAATTGTGTGTTAAAATTTATTGAAATGCATAATATTTTATTAAAATGAATTAAGTAAATAAAAATTAAAAGATTAATAATATATTCCTCATATGCTTCCACTTACATCGCATTTCTAACTCTTTCATAAAACTAAAGTTACAATTGTTAGTTACTTTATAAAAAAAAAATCCATAGACATTTGCTTATGGATAAACTTGGTAATTCTTGTCATTTTATCTTGTAAAATATTATATTTATATCATATTTTATATAAAAATTATATATTATAATTTATATCGATATAAAAATATAAAATATATTTTTAAAATTTTATTAAATATTTATATAATTTTTATAAAATTTTAAGTTATATTAATTTTATATATTTTATTTATATCGTTTTCGTATCGTATCATTATATCGTATTTTAAATTATTAAATTTACTTATAAATCATATAAAATATATAGAGAAGGGAATTAACCAGCAAATAACAAATTGCTTGGATGTGGAGGTAATGTATAGAAGAAGAATTAAAGCTATTAGTACACGTCATGGACCCAACTTTGTCTTAACAATTTATTAATCTAGTCATATTCTTTATATTAATTTTCACTTGAAAAGCAATTTAAGTTGCTTTATTCAAAGAACAAAGTTACGTGGTTCACTCATACAAAGTTAGTTTAAAGAACCTTGATTTGATTGGAACTTGACATCATGTTTTCAACATAGTCACGAGTAAAGATATAAATGATATATTAATATTCGTAAATTATTCGAATTTGATTCGAATAAAATTCGATTCGATTATTATTGAGTCGAGCTCAAGCTCAAGTAGCTCAACTTATCAATCGAATCGAATTTGAATATTTTTATACCCGATTTGAGTAGTTCGTGAGCCTAATCGAATTTTTATATTTAAAATTTTTTTATTATTTTAATTAATAAAATATCTCAAATTTGAGTTCGAGCTCGAGCATAAATAATCGAACTATTATCGAATATAAAAATCAAACTTATTTTAACATATTAATCGAGTTTAATCGAGCGAGTTTGAGTAACTCAATTTTGATCACGAATCAAACTCAAGCTAAAAAAATAAAACTCGATCGAGTTCGAATCGAACATCAAATTGAGAGTCGAACTCAAATTTAAATTTCTCACTATATCGATTTGATTCGATTCGATTCGATTATACTCATAATCACACCTTAACTTGTTCCATCATTTTCCTTGAAGTTTTGCACCATTAAACTAGCTATAAAAACACACAAGCCTTCCGTCTTCTCTCTTTTTCTTTTGATTATTATTCTTATAGTTAATTTGTGGTTGCGAACAGTATAACAAAATAAAATAAAACGATTTCAGCTTTGAAATCGCCAGCGAATCAACCATAGTCAATGGGATCAAAATTTTTAAGATTTATTAGAATGGACAATAAGGTTGATATTAACAAGATTAAAAAAAATAATAAAAATAATATTAATTATTATAATAATAAAAATAAAATAATAATAAAATATAATTTTAACGTAAAAATAAGTGTGATAATAAAAATAAATTGTATGAGAATAAAAAATTTAAAATTTTAGATGATTCAACGTTTATAAAATTAATAAATAATTATTAAATTATTTTAAATATTAGTTTTGTTAGTAAATTATTAAAAATTAATAATAATAAATTAAAATTAAAGTTAATTATTTATTAATTTATTATATAATAAAAAATTTATTCATTAATTTATTACATAATAAAAGATCAAAATGAATTAAAAATTAAAATTAAAATATTTTTTAGTTAACATTAAAATTTTAAAAGTAAAAATTAAAAAAATAAAAAATAATTTTAGGTCCGATCGCCAATTGCGACATGAAATTTAATTGTAATCGCACCGGCTGCGATTGACAACATGGGGCCCATCTTCTTCGCTTTCGCCGCGCTCCATTACTGGCACCAATGATGCACACAAGAAAGAGGAAATTTTCCCAAAGAAGGATATTTAAAATCTTTATTTTCAATAAAGGTATTTTTGTTGGAAAAAAAATAAAGGTATTTTTAAATTTATTTCTCTAAATAAGATAATGTAAGTCAAATCAGTGATCATGTCAAATATTTCAAAAATTATTTTATGAAAAAAATTCCAAAATTGAAACATAGCACGCTTAAGAATTAATATTTAAAACCAATAAACCCCAAATAATATTTTCTCTTTTTAGTTCTTTATCAAAAATTTAATTTACCTCTAGAAGAAATAGAAAATAAAAGTTTACAATTTTTAAAATTTTTAAAATTAAAATACAATTAAAATTAAATATTATATAAAAAGTAAATCAAACAATCAATTATTATATCACAATGAAGTTATAATAATTTATAATCATTGAATAATTAAGGTTAAAAAATAAAAAATTTCTACGAACTAATTAAAAATTTATTTAAATTTTAATATTTTATTACAATCAATTAGATGAATTTAATCACACGACAAAATTAAATCGATCAATCCCTCAATTATAATCAATTAAATCCTTAAAAAGATAAAATATATATTTTATTTAATTTTCACATATATTACTTATTATCACGTGATAAATTTTTATTTATTTTATTAATATTATACAAAATTTTATTTTAATTAATAAAAAATTAAGTGTCAACTTTTTTATTTAAATAAGAATTTAATTGAATATAAATAAATATTAAAAAATTAATTGATTGTAATTAAAAAATAATGACTTACAAGGTAATAAATTATTTTTTACTTTTGGTCTAAATTATGTTATCAAATTAGTAATCCAAATAAACTACATTTAAGTAATATTTATTAAAGTTACTTTTTTTTTTTCTTTACGAACTTAAAATAATATTTATTTACATATATTTATGGTATTAAACTGACATTGTATAATATTTTAATGCTTTTGATTATGAAATGATGGCAATTTGAAAGGATCAAATGACAAGTGTTAGACTTACAAGATTTTTTTAAGCAATTAATTTGAGCATAAAACAAAATTCAAGTTGTTAGATAAGATTGCATCACGAGATTTAGTGGCGAACAAGCGTGGCAAAATATGGTTCATTGTCGTTACTCAACAGTAAGACAATCTGATTAAGGAAGCATTGTTTTAGTAGAAAACTTTGAACTAACTCATGAAACGGAAAAATATATCTAAACAAATAACAAAATCATGATTTGTAATTGAGTGTTTAGGGTACTTATTTAAATAATAAATTTAAAAGTACCTGAATACGAGAATAAAAATTTTATAGTACTCCTTTAAAAAAAAAAATTATAGTACTCCAGAGGGCACACCTCTGGAAGCGGAGCACACGCAAACTGACCGTCGACATTTACCACGTGGCAACATCCACCTCCCCTGCTCGAACCTTCACCGAAACCTGCCCTCTCTTTCTCTCTGTATGGCTCAAACCCTTTATAACTCTCTTCCTCGTTACCCTCCTCTCAAATCCCTTCGACAAATATTTCAATTTTTTTTAATCTGACGAATTTTGGTGCCAAAAAAATCATTAATATCATTTTTTTGACAATATGGAGCCCTTAAGTTTGACAGGATTACTGAAGAAGGCTGCGGCGGAGTTCCCAAGCAGGAGAGCTCTATCGGTTTCCGGTAAATTCGATTTAACATATGCTCAATTTCAACTACTCGTCGATCACGCTGCCTCTCTTCTCATCGCCTCCGGTATCGAGCCTGGCGATGTCGTCGCTCTTACTTTTCCAAACACCGTCGAGGTTCGTTTACTTTTTACGTTTCAATTGATAAAATCTTGTATGAAACATTAGATTCTGTTTTTGCTGATGAGAAAATATAGGGAAGAATCGATCAAAAATAACCAAAAACATCATTTTCTTTAATCTTGCATTTTTTGTATTAAATTATCACTGATTTTCCTTTTTTTTTAACAGTTCGTGATAATGTTCTTGGCTGTAATTCGCTGCCGAGCAACTGCTGCGCCGTTAAATCCGGCTTACACAGCGGAGGAATTCGAGTTCTACCTTGCTGATTCTGAATCCAAGCTTTTATTTGTCCCAGCCGAAGGCATCAAGCCGGCTCAAGCTGCCGCTTCCAAGCTCAACATTCCCCACGTGTCCGCCACTCTCCGCGATGAGAATTCCAAAATTACTCTCTCCTCTGACCCCGAGTCAAATCTTGACTCAGTCCACCAACTAGTAAATGACCCTAATGACGTCTCACTTTTCCTTCACACCTCGGGTACCACCAGCCGTCCAAAGGGTGTCCCTTTGACTCAGCTCAATCTAGCCACCTCTGTTTTGAACATTAAATATGTTTATAAACTCAGCGAGTCTGATTCTACTGTCATCGTGCTCCCGTTATTTCATGTGCATGGCTTGTTAGCTGGCTTACTGAGTTCACTCATTTCCGGTGCTGCCGTGACTCTACCATCCGCTGGGAGATTTTCTGCCTCGACATTTTGGACGGACATGATTAAATATAATGCCACGTGGTACACTGCTGTTCCCCACGATACACCAGATCATATTGGACCGCCACGAGAGCAAGCCCGAGCCGGAATACCCGAAGCTGAGGTTTATTAGGAGCTGCAGCGCATCATTGGCGCCGAGTATATTGGATCGGCTAGAGGAGGCATTTGGCGCACCGGTGCTTGAGGCTTACGCCATGACTGAAGCATCTCATCTCATGGCTTCAAACCCGTTACCCGAATGTGGCCCGCATAAGGCCGGGTCGGTTGGGTGGCCTGTTGGTCAAGAGATAGCGATTTTGAATGAACAAGGGGAGGTTCAGCCGCCTAATACTAAGGGAGAGGTTTGCATTAAGGGATTGAATGTGACAAAGGGTTATAAGAATAATCCTGAGGCTAATAAATCAGCTTTTCTATTTGGTTGGTTCCACACTGGGGATGTCGGGTTTTTCGATTCGGATGGATACTTGCATCTTGTGGGTCGGATCAAGGAGCTCATCAATCGTGGAGGTATCATTTTGTGCTGACAAAAATTCTAATTTTGCTTTAGTTTCATTAAAAGTTTTCAAATTTAGAGTCAGTCGTTGATTGAATGTGAACATATTTCTTAAAACATTATCTTAACAAACTGCTGCTCATTTGAGTTCAATCATGACTTGTATACCAGAAAGTTAATGTGATATTTGGTTTCTTAACTTTCTCAGGTGAGAAAATTTCACCAATTGAGGTAGATGCAGTGCTACTGGCTCATCCTGATGTTGCACAGGCAGTTGCCTTTGGTGTCCCCGATGAGAAATATGGCGAAGAGGTAAGAAATCATTTCTTTCGTGTGCCAAAAACCCTTTGTAGTTTCAAAATATTTACGTTTGTGATTTTTGAATTGATGTTGTGTTATTGTCTAACATTTCTCTGTTTCTTTCAAATCTAGATAAATTGTGCAGTGATTCCAAGGGAAGGAGTAAGCCTGGATGAAGCAGAGATTTTGCAATATTGCAAGAAGAATCTTGCAACTTTCAAGATCCCCAAGAAGGTGTTCATCACTGATTCTGTGCCAAAAACCGCGACTGGCAAAGTCCAGCGGAGGATTGTAGCTGAGCATTTCTTGTCCCAAATGTCTGCTGCTAAAGTTCCCAAATTTGGAGCTTAATTGAGCACTGCTCTCTCCCTCCCGACATTTACCTTTTGCTTTGTAGGTTACTTAGGTACAGATTTATGTGGCTGTATTTTTTTTTTTTCTTATTGGAATTAAAGTGATTCTTGAAATAGACTGATGAGATCAAGTAATTATGATTTGAAAATATTTGCGTTCAATTTTTGCAAGTTTAATTTGCCATAGAAACAGACTCTTGAAATTACTGATAAAAAGAAAGCAACAATACTAGTATGTAAATTGTGGAGACAGTAAAAAGTCCAAAGAAAATTAACAATACAGTGATCCAAACACCATAAACAGGCAATGCGAGTTGCATCAACAGACTGCACATGCACAAAAATGTTTCAAACCACAACGAAAACATACAAATATCCTACAGGCTACAAGAACAATGGGGCAAGCATATTCCACCAGTTTCAATCCTCTTCCCCATATTCCTCCTCTTCCTCGTACTCCTCATCATCTGCCGTTGCATCCTGGTATTGCTGGTACTCTGAGACCAAATCATTCATGTTGCTCTCAGCTTCCGTGAACTCCATCTCATCCATCCCCTCTCCGGTGTACCAATGCAAGAAAGCCTTCCTGCGGAACATAGCAGTGAACTGTTCACTGACCCTCCTGAACATCTCTTGGATTGAAGTAGAGTTCCCAACAAATGTGGCTGCCATCTTCAAGCCAATAGGAGGGATGTCACAAACAGTGGACTTCACATTGTTTGGAATCCATTCAACAAAGTACGATGAGTTCTTGTTTTGCACATTGATCATTTGCTCATCAACCTCTTTTGTGCTCATCTTGCCACGAAACAAAGCTGATGCTGTGAGGTATCGGCCATGTCGAGGATCAGCTGCACACATCATGTTCTTGGCATCCCACATTTGCTGAGTAAGTTCAGGGACAGTCAGGGCTCTGTACTGTTGGGAACCACGAGATGTGAGAGGTGCAAATCCAACCATGAAGAAATGTAGCCGGGGAAATGGGATGAGGTTTACAGCAAGCTTCCGGAGGTCTGAGTTAAGCTGACCAGGGAAGCGAAGGCAGCATGTAACGCCACTCATGGTGGCAGATATTAGATGGTTGAGATCTCCAACTGAACATCAAATATTGCATGTTAGTTTCCATACAGAAAGAAGGAAATGAATGATAAGCAAGTAGTTGGCTTGCATTGTTTCATCCAGTTGAAAAGTGAAAACCCCAAAATCTTTTTATTTTTTTTTAAAGATCCAAAAACTACTTGCTCTGTTTCACACACGCAAGTCAAATAGAAAGCCCCATCTCAGAAAGTGCATGATTATAGTATAGCTGAAGCCTGAAGGTATTATAGTACTATAACCCATCCACCATAATCTCCAAAGTCCATAAACATGAGACCCATGTGAAATCACCACTGTATTCGTGCAAATGGGAAAATCTTGCATCAATGAAAATAGTACTAATAATCTTGCACAAATGTTAGTATCAATGAAAACTTGCCATAAACTAATCATTGTGATTACTGATTAATGAACCATGTGTCAACCCTACTATGACAATATTTTACCTACGAGTACCATACTCTTATTATTTTAGAACTTACCTAGACATTACCAAAATGGCAAACACAAAAATCTTATTCTAATCTCTTCCTTAGGTAAAAAGCTCTAGTCTCTGGAAAGTGAGACCCTTGTGTATCCCAACTGCATCTAGGCAATTGTACACAGAGACAGAGAAGAGAATCTAAGATTCATGTGGCTCCTTCTACCTCACCATCAGTACACAAAAAAAAAAAAAAAGGCTAATACTTCACAGTTCTTAACCCTCCCAAATTGGAATCTAAATGAGAAGGTTATGGATCTTATGTATAAATTGGCAATTAAGACTCAAAACTGACGCAACAATTCCATATGGAGCGGCAAACATTTTCACCCATGACCAGAAAGTCGTTTGTTTATGGTTTCAACTAGAAAAATATAGTAGATACAGCAGTGTTTCTAGATGGACAAAGTTGGATTCATAAAAAAAAATTGATTATCAACTAAAACCAAATATCAAATGCACTCGCAAACAACTACCCAAACGTCCTCTAACAAATAGTAATAAACAATCCACATAATTAGCTGCCAAAACAATACTATACTAAATGCCTTTAGACAACAATTTGTCATAATTATCTCATTTCTCACCAACCAAACAAACTAAGAAAGTCAACAGTTAAAAGACCAACCAATCAAAAGAAACTTCATTTGCAAGAAAACCAAGAGATACTTACAACTTGGTGTAGTGAGCTTGAGGGTGCGGAAGCAGATGTCATAGAGAGCTTCGTTATCAAGGACCATACACTCATCTGCGTTCTCCACAAGTTGATGAACTGAGAGTGTTGCATTGTAAGGCTCAACAACAGTATCTGATACCTTAGGAGATGGGAACACCGAAAATGTAAGCATCATTCGGTCTGGGTACTCTTCCCTTATCTTGGATATCAACAACGTTCCCATTCCGGAACCTGTTCCTCCTCCCAAGGAATGGCATACCTGAAACCCTGTAACCAAACAGCTCCAATTTAAGATTAACCAAAGTTAACACTTAACAACCAAATGAAGCTTTAAATTAAACAAAAAAAAGGCAAAAATTACCTTGTAAGCAATCACAATTCTCGGCTTCTTTTCTGACAACATCGAGAACGGAATCGATAAGCTCAGCGCCTTCCGTGTAATGTCCCTTAGCCCAGTTGTTTCCAGCTCCGGACTGTCCGAAAACGAAGTTGTCGGGTCGGAAAATTTGTCCGTATGGGCCGGATCTTACGCTATCCATGGTGCCGGGTTCCAGATCCATTAAGACGGCACGGGGAACATATCGGCCGCAACTGGCTTCGTTGTAGTAGACGTTGATACGCTCCAGCTGGAGCTCCGAGTCGCCGTGGTATCGACCCGTTGAGTCGATGCCGTGTTCGGCGCATACGACTTCCCAGAACTTGGCTCCTATTTGGTTGCCGCATTGGCCACCTTGGATGTGGAGGATTTCTCTCATTTTCTTGGGAAAGTGAAGGAAAGTTGGAGAGGGAAAATAAACTTCAGAATATTTAACTGGGAAGAGTGAGCTTTTTAGATGGGGTGAGAACCTTGAGAGAGTTTTTATGTAGGGGAATTAACGGTTTCCGTTAGTTGGCGGCAGATGGAGACGGGTTTTCGTCGGTTAGTAACGGACGTTTCGTATTAGTGGGAAATTGAATTTTTGAATTTGGATTTGTTTGAGTGTTGCAGAGTAACTATTGCAGTTACTGGAATTGATTACGTGGTTTCTTTTTATTGGATAGCGGGTGGAAGAGTCTGGCGCTGGCCTTACCAGATTCTACATTATTAAATGGGCCCCAGCAGCCACACAGAGAATAAAATTTTCTTCTAGATTGACACTTAAATAACTGATGTCTTAGTATTTATTTAAGAAAAATTATGACATTGGTTAGTAGGATAATATCAACATTAGAGTTAATAAAAAAATTTTAAAAATTAAATATATGACAATCTCTTAATTTTACTTATAAAATAAAAAAAATTTACTAATAATTATATAAAAAATAATTTTTTTATTTAATAGTTTTTAACTGCATCGATACTTGCTGAGATAAGTAAAGCTCACTTCTTTTCGAATGATAAAAATGGATAAAGTTGGATAGAAATTTAAATTTTGAAAAAAAAAATGATGCATTGTTAGTATATAAATTTTATATATTATCAGTAAATAGGATGATATTATCTCATTTATGAAGTGAATCAGATGATGTCACTTCATTAATAAATAATTTTTTTAAAAATAGTAATTTTTGTATATTTATTTTAAGGGTTGATATTTGCTCACTTATAACTTGATATTATCTTATTTACCAAAAGTATATAAAATTTATATACCGATAATATATTAAACATAAACTTAAAAAAAAAAAGAAATAGAGAGAATCATTAAGTTTCAATGCATAAGAAATCCAAATGATATTGAGCTTTGAGTATGACAGATTCTGTCTTGGCTGCATGAATGAGAGGGAAGGCAGAAGCACATGCAGCTGGGGTGTAAGTGAAGCTATATGGTTTTGATTCCATGCATGTCTACAAAGCTAGCATTTGATGGCTTGGAAGAGGAGGGTCGAGAAGCATCACTTTTGTGTGTTGGAAACTTGCATTTTACTCTCTCATCCTCCTCCTCTGCTGACAAAAGGTAAACCTTAATTTTTACATCGTGGAGGACTGAGAGATTCAAAGGTTTTTTTTCATCTTGTCAGCTCAGACATACAACCTTTATGACCCTCTATTTCTTGAGAAGCCTTGGGTACAAAGCAAACTATGTATCCACCTGTTTGCTTCATGGCAAGATCAGTTGAAAAACTTCAATGATTTTGCTTAATTAATTATCTACTCATTTTTATTCTTCAAATATTAGTTGTATCCGGTTGCTTGAAACTCAATCTGCCATTGATGAAGCTGCTCACCAATTATTTATTCTTGAATTGCCTCTTAAAAGTTGATTTCATAATCAACTCTACAGGATACTTTATATTTTTTTTGTTCTTAACAATTGAGGGATGAAATAAACGGTCTTGGAATTATCTGATAAAGAATAGTCTTGAGAAAAAGTTTGTAACCATGCATAGTCTTCGTTAGGCCATCAAATCGCCAAACCTGCTGCCTCTTGTCTGGCATTGATGTCCCTCTTCAACAACCAAATGCCATTTTCTGAGGGTCGATGCTGGGAACTCGATCCTTCGGAGCAAAAACATTTGCGAATCATTGTGAGGGGTAAAAAAAATTCCAGCACTTCACTCAACGGCTAAGCATTCAACGTTTCCAAATTTGGGTTGACTCGAAGAGAAAATAGTAGTAATAACTTTTCTTTGGACCATTAATGGATTACTAAAATAGTTTGAGTATGCTCATGCCACAAGTTTGATAAAACAGAAGAGTTAATGGATGTAATTTGTGGAAATAAATATCAGATCCAAACATGGAAAAAAAAATCCCAAAACCATCCATTTTCTCCTCCAAATTCTCTCCTCTCTTAAAACCAAATTTTCACCTCTCATAACCCCTTAAAACGAGGATCTCTTTTCTCTTTTTACTCTCCACAGCCATCATTCAGCCTCTTGCTCCCTCCTCTCCCTTTTATAGTTTCACATCTCACGAAGGCTCCCTCTCTCATTGGTGGCAAAATGGTATGTTTTCTACCCTCTCTCTTCTTTTTATAATCAATCAGATTAATTTCTTAATGACAATTATTATAAGAATGGTACGTAGTGTTTTTTTGTTTATGATTAGAAAATCGTTATGATTAGTTGCTCTCCAACCACTTCGTTCATTAGACATTATGAATTCAAACAACCTTATAATCATACTTTTTAGTTTCTAAAAGTTGTCTGTTTCTTGATATATAGACAATATATGGAGATTGTAGATGGTGATAAGAGAGAGAAATAAACATATCTCATTGGGGGATTTTATTAATATTTGTCTCTTGAGTCCTGCATGCATGCCTGGTTGTCATAAAACCACTGCAGGCCTCTCCCAAGGGGCAAGGGCCAAGAAGCCATGCAATATTGGCCCTATATTTCAATTCTATGAGCTTTTTTTTTTGTTACAGACAATATTTCATGAAATATCAATAATCAATTCAAGCAATAATTATAGTAGTGTTTTGTAAATCTCTCCTTGATGGGTAGGCGAATTCAGCATCAGGAATGGCTGTGAACGATGAATGTAAGCTGAGGTTCTTGGAGCTAAAAGCAAAGAGAAGCTACAGGTTCATCGTTTTCAAAATAGAAGAAAAGATTCAGCAGGTTGTGGTTGAGAAGCTAGGAGAACCCAACGACAGCTATGAAGATTTAAGTGCCAGTTTGCCTTCTAATGAGTGCCGCTATGCCGTCTATGATTTCGATTTCACTACCGATGAAAATTGCCAGAAGAGCAAAATTTTCTTCATTGCATGGTACTCAAAACATTTTTTTCACAATTGCTTTCTCCACGTAAATTTCACCATAACTAACTGCAATCATACATCTGTATGTTTTTAATAACAAGGTCTCCTGACACATCGAGGGTAAGGAGCAAAATGTTGTATGCCAGCTCCAAGGATAGATTCAGAAGAGAGCTGGATGGTGTTCAAGTTGAATTGCAAGCCACTGATCGGTGTGAAATGAGCTTTGACATTGTCAAAGGGCGAGCCCTCTAAACGGCTAGCCAACCTTGCTTGGATCAATCGACTAATGTCTTCATTTCGTCAACCTTCTTCATTAAAACCATGTTTGGGGGGCCCTAAAACTTTCGATTGCCGTAATCATCAATTCAATTACTTGTTCAAAGCTGATATCTATATGTATATATGTTACCAATTCCCTAAACTGAAAAATTCGCAGTAAATTTGGGTGTCAACAAAATGTTGTTGAACCATTATTTAGTTTGATCGAATGTTAGATTTTTAATTTCAGTAAACTTATCCAAATTTTGGCTTCTTCATTTAAAATAAAAAATTATGAGCAGGGGATCACCATTTTTTACATCCTTTTTTCTCTCCACTCCTTGCTCTTAACTTGGGGGTGATTTCGTCGAATGGGTTTTTGTTTAAAAAAAGATGGACAGGTGTCTTCGTTACATAATTGTTTTCTCTCTTTATTGTTTATAAAAAATATAAATATATAATATTTTAAGAAGTATTTTTAGATTTTACTTGAATTGAACTTATTTTTTATTAAAAAAATTAATGTAATTAATATTTTATAAAAATTATAATAAAATATCTAATATGATATTTAAATTTTAAAAATTTTTAATATAATACATAAATTATAAATCTATTAATTATTATAATTGTTGTTTGTTCGTTACATATTATTTTTTAAAATTAATCATGTTAGATGTGAAGATCATATTAATTAATAAATTCATAATTTAAATATCATATTAAAAATTTTTAAAATTTAAATACTACATTTAATATTTCATTATAATTTAAAAACCATATATAACATTAACTCTATTTTAAATGATCTTATATATTAAACTTAAATTTTTTATAATCCGATCAAAGATATTTTGAATTTAATTTTCCATTTATTAATGAGGGGAGATAGTATCACAATGGAGATAAGAAAATTTTGTCTTGACTTAATAAACCATGGAAAATAAAAAATGCAAAATTTATTTTATTTTAAATTAATTTGACATTTTTCAGTTTTTTTTTATTATTGATTAAATCATTTATAACTTGCGGAAAGTAACAAAAGAAAAATAAATTAAAACTACTTACTAGTGTAAAATTATCTCCATCATTCCATGCTTCGCATTTTAAAAAGTCATTCACAAATTATAAAATCCTTAGAAATTAACTATATGATGTATGTTACATTTTATTTTATTTTCAGCTATTAAACGACGACATTGCTTTACAACTCGCTTCGTTTCGTCACATTTTCTATGGTTTTAAGAAGAGCTTCACACTTTCTTTCTTTTCCTCTCTCTAAGCCTAAGCATGGAAGATTCCGGAGGCCCCGGCAGGAACCCGGCACCTTGTTGGAGCAATGTAGTGGAGAGCTAACCACCAAAGACTCAAACTCAGAACCAAACGCCCGCGACAAGCCAACTCTTCGTCGAAAGCTGCAAATCCACGAAGGGAATAGCGGTAGCCGTAGTGGACACCAACACCATCATCGAAGGTGGAGAAAAACTCACCAACTCCGCCGACAAGTTCTTTACCGTCCCCGAAGTCTTCGCTGAAACTCGAGACCCTGTTTCCCACCACCGCCTCGCCTTTATCCCCTTCTCCATCGATTCCATGAAGCCCTCTCCTGATTCCCTCAATAAAGGTATTAAATTTTAACTTCAATTTCCATTCTTTTGTATATATGATATTTTGCTTAGAAATTTGTTTTTAGATATTAAGGATCCCGCTTGTTATTTCATTACTATCTGTTTTTTGCTTCTTAAAATGATTTTATAATGAAAAAGTAAAGTCTTAATAGGTTAAAAAGACAAACAAATGATCAGAATGTAACTCCAATTCTTACATCATTGTTATTAAATGTTTTATTTGACCTTGTCGTTACCAAATTTGCGTGCAGCCACTTTCGGATGTTGATCTCAAACCGATTGCCCTAACACATACATTGGAGTCTCAAATTCATGAAACTAGTAATCTTAGGGATGCTCTTTTTCCTGTTCATGTTGTTAATTTAAATAGGCTGCCTGAAAGGGACTCGCCTGGATGGGACTCTAATGTTCCTAATTTGGAAGATTGGGAAGCATGGGACGGGAAGCTGAAATGTATCCAATATTAACTCGAGAATTCTTCCCCTGAAAGACTTAAATATGAACATTGTCCCTTCAGATAACCGTTCTGAAGATGCTTTGGTGGAAATGAAGGGTGAAATGTTTTCTGAGAATCAAGAGGATGTTGAACTGGGTTTTAGGAGATCCAGGAGATATTTTCCCCAGAAAAAGGAAGGTGAAAATTGAAGGGAAAGAGATGGTGGCTGATGGAATTGATTCATCTCAGGGACAGTTTGATGATAATGGTGATGCGTGGCGACGCTGTAAGTCGAGGTAGACATAGTAGATATCTTACGAGGAAAGCTAGGCGGGATGAGGCATCAGTGGACAAAGATTGTCAGGAAGATATGGAAAAAAGCATGGATGAGAACAATGTTGAGGACACAAGTGATCCTCCTCAGCTGTTGCAACAAATTACCAAAGAAGCTCATTCTGGAAATGGAATTTATGAGGCGGCTGAGCAAGCAGAAGGAAAGGAGGTTGATGAAGATCTTTCTTCAATCCTAAAACAAATGAGGCTGGAAGAAGATTCACTGAGAGATCTTCAAGATGCAAAAGTAGAGACCACAGTGGAGGAAGCTGTGATCAGTGACAATGTGATTCTTGCTGTTGGAGGAGATAATATGGATCTGGTCAATGAAGAATTAGAGCAGTTGGAGATGTCAAGTCAGACCAATGAAACTGTCAATGATGTTAGCAGCGAGCAAAGCTGGATGTTGAGATCCTTATCTGAGTCCAGTGTAGCTTGTGTAACAAGGGACTTTGCCTTGCAAAATGTTCTTCTGCCAATGGGTTTATGACTACTAGCACCCAGTGGAATGCAGATTCGGCAGCTGCACAGGTATATAATGGAGGCATATGTTAATACCGGCGGTTGTCAGTTACCTCTCCAAATTTCAATCATCATTTCAATTAAGTCATTTCAAAATTAAGTATTTTGATGCAAATGTGCTTATCTTTGATATATCTGTAAGTAGATGGATCTTGAAGTGCCATGCCTGCTATACTGGTACTGCTGAAATTGGGAGAATTTTCTGTCCCAAGTGGGGAAATGTAGGAACTTTACAAAAGGTAGCTGTTACCGATGGTGAAAATGGAATTGTTCTGCATCGAATTGCCCAAGAATTACTTTGCGTGGTACAAAGGTAAGTTCATTTACACAAGCAACTGGCAAAAGATATAAGTCATTTTTTGAGCATGGGTTTGTTAATTTGTTACATTTTTTAGTGCTGTCTGGCATAGCCTAATATCCTTTGAATTTTTGGGTTGGCAATATGATATGCTTTTGAGAAAATATTTTATGAATGCGTTCATTGCTGCGTGCAGTTTTCACTGCCTTTACCCCAAGGTGGAAGGGATGCAATAACCAAAAACCTCATTCTGTGTAAAGATCAACATCCCCATAAGTTCCTTTACCCTAAAACAAAGAAAAGTAAAACAGGTTCGTCTCGCCACCTTTTTCTTAAATAATTCTTTTGTGATTTTCATTATTGTTTCTGCATCTGTTAATTTAAAGCTGAGTTGTATTTTATTTAGGGGGAAGATGAGCTCTTCATTACTGTTGACACCTTCACTCACCGTACCAACAAGAGAGCACCTCTTCAGCCTCCTGTAAGAAAAGCATTAGCTTTATTTAGTGGGAAGAGGAATCCAAATGACAACCGTTACTCCTGATCCAAGCATAAGTAACTTTACAGGTTTTTTTTTTTTTTACTATATCCAACAGCTCCTTTGCCCATATGCTTGTTAAGTCAGATGTAATGAATTTTCAACTAGCGTGCTATGTATTTTTTTGCCTTGAAATGAGCTAAATTTTGGAGAAAAATTGACATGCGGCATTTACAAAGATCAAAAGGATTCAATAGAAGAAAAAGGGTAAAACCGTATGTATTTGATGAAGTGTGTTACCTTCAAGTCAATCATGATGAAAGAGCAAGTTCAGCCCATGCCAAAGAAGCTGATTTGAGCTCAACGGATATTGATGTGTCAATTCTGCTGTCCAACATGAGGCTTATTTCCTGCATGGATGGCTGTTTTGAAGAGTCTGGATGAATGCAAAGGCTTATGACTTCACAGATAACTTTGAGGTCATCATATCCGAAATGTTTTAGCTCTGGGTCCACAATGTAAGACATTACTTCTGGTAATTCAAAATAGTCCTTGGCCTGCCATGCATGGTGCAACTTAAGTGTGTTGGAGCATATCAAGCCAGGCATGTTTGTCTATAAGAGAAGCACAACATGAAATTTCCTTAAAAAAATGGGCTTTCACAGAGGCTGCTTACCCAATCTATCAAGCTACCTCTATCATTTTAGAATGGGGGCCTCCCACTAATTATCTCCAGTAGAAGTATGCCAAAAACATGAATATTTCCCTGGATATCCAGATGACGCTTCTCCACAGAATTGGGAAGTAGACAAATGGCTCCATTGTTGCCGACAAGGCTAGAGTTCTTTTCAGATCTAACAAGAATAGTCTTCCAACTTTCAAAATCAACCAACTGCATCACCAGATAATTTCTTAAATCAGAATAATCTCAGCTAAATCTCAATATTGCAGCCACTCAACCAAAATTTCTAAGTTATGATTCAACCATGACACATCGGTCATCACCCCAAGTAAATTGGGCACACGACACAACTTTACCATAAGCATACTTTTGAACCCAACTCAAGCATCCCCTGATCATGAAGAAAATATTAGATGCTCATACATGCATGGGCAAGAGGTGAGGAAATACCTTGGGGGAAAAATCCTCTGTAAGATATACAGCACTAGAGTTTAACTTTGATATTGTGAATGGTGGATCAAGTTCTGTATGAAGATACTTGAGTCCTAGAGCAATGCCAAGAATAATTCTCATACGCCTTGTCCAAGATAATTGGGATCCTTCTCCATCTGCATTAACATTGATTACTCAGGTAAAAGCTGATAAAAAAATCTTATAATTGTATATGAGAGAGAGAGAGAGAGAGAGAGAGAGAGAGTATGCTTACAATGCAA